CTTGAGATACCAATACACGCTTCTTTTCTTGAAGTTCAATCACACGATCTTCAATCGTATTCTCAATTACAAATCTAAAGATTGAAACAGGTCGAGTTTGACCTAATCGATAAATTCGGTCGACTGCTTGATCCTCAATGCTCGGATTCCACCAAGGGTCCATTAGAAAACATTGATTCGCTGCAGTCAAGTTCAAACCAAGGCATCCACATTTCAAACTAATCAGAAAGACTTTAACTTCAGGATCGTAAGTGAAATCATTTATTGACTGTTCGCGTTTGCTGCGCGACATACTACCGTCCAATCGGACAAATTTGACATTAGCCTCTTTAAAGGCGATTTCAATCAAATTTAGAAATGATGTCCATTGGCTGAAGACCACCGATTTAGTTGTAGGATCATTTTCATTCGATACCTTAAGAAATTCCAATAAATCTTTAATTTTTGAGCTTGGTTGATAATCCGATGTGATTAAGTTTCCGATCTCCTCATCAATTGATTCTCGTTCGGGAGGTGGGTCAATCAATTGATTCTTTTGAACTGGACTACGACACATTGGACAAGCATGTTTGTCTTTATCAATAACTTTCTCAATACAATCTCTATCAAACACATGTTTACAATGCGTGATTACAGGTGTGGTCAGCGGTTCCAAGCAGATGCAACAATCTTCATTATTTTCAATTATAACTCTCAATGTGTTCACTAATGACTTGATATTATCGTCGTTCATATCAAAAATATTAACATGTGCTTCCAGAATCTCTCTCACTCGTTCTGCACAAAGTTTATGATGGTTGCAGATCTGTCGCAATCTCATAAGTATTTCCAAGATTGTGGCGTAATTATCCTTAGAATTCTTTGATTCTCTCCATTTCTTAAATAGTATCTTTGCTTCTTTTTCTACCTCATCATAAATCTTCTTCTCTTCAATGTTGAACTTGACCTTGTGAATAAATGAATTAACGGGAGGAAGGGACAATATCGAACGTCCATTGAATTGCATATCCTTTGTTCGCCGAAGACAAACAATTTTCATCAAGA